AGCAGAAAACCTGCAGAATGGCAGATATGGGATGAAAATATTAACAAACTATATATCCAATAGGGGATTGATATCCAGAAACTCAAAGAACTCAGCAAAAAAAATAAATAAATAAAAAACTAAAAAAGTCCAAATAAACCCATTAAAAGTGGGGCAAAGAACATGAAAAGAGACACGACATTGGTCTTAGGCAAGGATTTTGTTGCTAAGACTTCAAAAAGCACAGGTAAAAAAATAGATGTGCAGGTTACATTAAACTAAGAAGCTTCCTGCACAGCAAAGGAAATAACGAGATCCAAGAGACAATCTACACGGGTCGATGAAAATGATTCGCCGAACACTATGACATCTGAAAGAGTTCATATCCATGACGCTACAAAAATCAGAAGCGTCAATAGCAAAAAACACAACCACCTTGTAAATAGGGCAAAAAGAGCAAAGAGACATTTCTTGGAAGAGCTACTTCTAGTAGTTCTACTTCCTCTTTATCTCTTTCTCTTGCCTAATTGCTCTGCCTAGGACTTAAAGTACTATATTGAATAGAGATGGCGAAGGTGGGCATCCTTATCTTATTCTAGTTCTTAGGGGAGATGCTTTCAACCTTTCCCCATTGAGTATGATGTTGGCTTTGGGTTTGTCATACATGGCTTTTATTATTTTGAAATATGTTCCTTCTATGCCTACTTTGTTGAGGGTTTTAAGATGAAGGGATGTTGGATTTTATTGAATGCTTTTTCTGACTCTATTGAGGGGATTGTAAGGTTTTCGTTTTTAATTCTGTTTACATGGCGAATCACATTTATTGATATGTGCATGTTGAACCATCTTTGCATCCCTGGGATAAAACCCACTTGATCATGGTATATTATATTTTTGATGTGCTTTTGGATTTAGTTTGCTACTATTTTGTTAAGAATTTTTACAACTATGATGATCAGAGATATTGATCTGTAGTTTTTTTGTTGTACCCTCTTCTGGCTTTGATGTCAGGGTGATACTGGCTTTGTAGCTTGAGTCAGGGAGGGTTCCTTCCTCCTTGATTTTTTTTGGGAAAAGTTTTATAAAGATTGGTATCAGTTCTTATTTTGTATGTGTAGTACAATTTGGCTTTTAATCTGTCTGGTCCTGGGATATTTTTTGTTGTTTATTTGTCCATTACTGATTCATCTCACTACTTGTTATTGGTTGTTCAGGACTTCTATTTCATTCTGGTTCAATCTTGGGGGGTTCTGTTTCCAGGAATTAATCCACTTCCTTCCTCTAGGTTTTCTAATTGTGCACATGAAGAGGCTCATAATATTCGTTGATGATCTTTTGCATTTCTGTGGTATCAGTTATAATGTCTTCTTTTTCACTTTTGATTGTGTTTACTTAAATATTATCTCTTTTATACGGTTAATCTAGCTAGGGATCTATCTATTTTGTTTGTCCTTTCAAGAACCAATTTTTTCATTTCGTTGATTCTTTGTAATTTTTGGAGGGGGACCTCAATTTTATTTTTAGTTCTGTTCTGGTCTTTGTGATTTCTTTTCTTGTGCTACCTTTGGGTTTGGTTTGTTCTTGTTTCCCTAGTTCCCTGAGATGTAATGATAGGTTGTAAATTTTTTATCTTTCTATCTTTTTGATGTAGGCATTTAACACTGTAAATTTCCCTCTTAGCATGGCCGTTGCTATATTCCAGGGGGTTTGCTGTACTGAGTCTCTATTTTCATTCAATTAAAAATTTAATTTAATTTAATTTTGAGACAGAGTCTCACTCTGTTGCTCAGGCTAGAGTGGGTACCATGGTGTCAGCCTAGCTCACAGCAACCTCAAACTCCTGGGCTCAAGCAATCCTACTGCCTCAGCCTCCCAAGTAGCTGGGACTACAGGCATGTGCCACCATGCCCCGCTAATTTTTTTCTATATATATTTTTAGTTATCCAAGTAATTTCTATTTTTTTAGTAGAGATGGAATCTTGCTCTTGCTCAGGCTGGTCTCGAACTCCTGAGCTCAAATAATCCACCTGCCTTAGCCTCCCAGAGTGCTAGGATTACAGGCGTGAGCCACCACATCCAGCCTGAATATTGTTTTTTATATAATTAGTATGGACTAGCCATCTTGCAGAGCAAGTGGTCTATTCACATTGGAAAAATTCAGATAGGACAGAAAGCCTACAATTTCACTAACAATGTTAAAAATGCAAGTATAATACTTATTAATAAATAAAAAGTCATTTATAAACAAAGTCTTCATAATGTGCTGCTCATTTTTTTTACAGAAGTCTTATGGGACAGAGACTGCTTGAAAGTAAAGAAGGTAGTTTGTGTGGAGAAACTTTGAGTCAGAGTTCAGATCACATGCTGAACAGGAAGAGTCCTCCTGGACTAAAACCACGTGAAAACAGTGTGTGTGTAGAAGTCTCTATTGGTCATTCGTACCTTCACAGGCACATCAGAGCTGGAATGGGACACAAACCGTTTCACTATGAGGAATTTGGAAATAAGCTATGTACATATAAGCAATGTGAGAAAACCCTCAGTTATCATGACTCCTTTCGAACAAACGACTCCTTTCCACCAACTGGAAAGAAACCCTATGATTGTCCAGAATGTGGAAAAACCTTCATTTCTCTCACATGCTTTAGAAGACACATGGTAATGCACAGTGGAGATGGACCTTATAAATGTAGATTTTGTGGAAAAGCCTTTGCATTTCTCAGTTTATATCATAAACATGAAAGAATTCACACCGGAGAGAAGCCATATAAATGTAAACACTGTGGTAAAGCTTTCCGTTGCTCCAGTTCCCTTCAACCGCATGAAAGAACTCACACTGGAGAGAAGCCATATGAATGTAAGAAATGTGGGAAAGCATTCAATTTTTTCACTTCTTTTCGTAGACATGAAAGGACTCACACAGGAGAGAAACCATATGAATGTAAGGAATGTGGGAAAGCATTCAGTTGTCCCAGTTCTGTTCATAGACATGAAAAGACACACACTGGAGAAAAACCCTATGAATGTGAGCAATGTGGGAAAGCATTTTCTCAGTGGAGGAGCATTCAATGTCACATGAGAATGCACACTGGAGATAGACCTCACAAATGTAAAGTGTGTGGGAAAGACTTTTATTCTCCCAGTTCATTTCAAAGACATGAAAGAAGTCACACTGAAGAGAAGCCCTATGAATGTAAGCAATGTGGTAAAGCTTTCAGGTCTGCTGAGTATATTCAAATACATGAAAGGACTCACACTGGAGAGAAGCCCTATGAATGTAAACAATGTGGGAAAGCCTTCCATTGTCCCAGTTCATTGCAATATCATGAAAAGAATCATACTAGAGAGAAAAACTATGAATGTAACCATTGTGGTAAAGCCTTCACATGTTCCACATACCTTCATATACATGGAAGAGTTCACACTGGAGAGAAGCCCTATGAATGTAAAGAATGTGGGAAAGCCATCATTTATTCCAGTGCCTACCGAAGACATCAAAGAACTCATACAATAAATATATGAGAGAAATCTGAGTTATGTAAGAAATTTGGAAAGCAGTGGATTGTTATAGTTCCTTTCAAGCACAGGAAAGGAGAGTGGAGAAAGATCCTATGAGGTAATTTCCTTTGGAGTTGAGGAGAGAGACCTGTGATAGCACAATAAAATGTAGAGTTTGAGTTGCATGATTCCATGATACATTTGTCCAATAGTTTATGTTCCAGAGATTTTGAAGGCAAATATGAGGAAGGCATTAGTCATGTTTTGGAGGCACCATGCAGGGACACATATAGATTCAAATGGGCTGTGGGGACACCTGCTTCCAGCCCATTTTCCTGATTCCTCAGCATGCCCTTCAACAATATCCTCACAATCACTTGACTGTTATTTTTCTCAGAGGCATATATTTCCAAAGATGTCTCCAGAAACTCCACATTAAAGATTCATCAGCTGTTTGAGTTTCAAGCATTGTAATGTCTTCAGCAGAGAATTCCAGCTATCACAGGTGGGGATATTCTCTGGTGCTCATTTCTCCCAATCTGTTGATACAGTGGTATAAGGTCTAATTTGTATTGCAAGCACCTTTGTTCTAGTGGTTATGACTCTGTTCCTGATTCAGCATGACAGCTACCACGCTGCCCTCAAAATCAACTGGATGGGAACTTGTTCCTCTGCTGCATTGTGGAGTGGCTGATCTCACCCAGAACTTTCATGTGAGAATGAGCACCTTCCTCTTATCAGGAAATTTTTAGTGTTTCCTGTTATTCACAGCTCAATCTACTGACTCCATTCATATTCAATTATATTACATTATATGTGATTAAAAGCAGTACATATTTTTTTTGGCCACCAAGATTTCTATACAAGTTTCTTAGGAAGTTTCTTAACAGTTTTTAACAAAATTTTAACAACTTTTATACTAACAAATGTTATTCTCTTTTTCAAGATATATTAAAAATACTCTCTTGATATCATGGATGAGATCAAGTTTACAATGATACTAAGTTATTCTTTTGATATTGTGAGTCAATATTATGATGTGTATGGCAGGGTGTGATGGCTCGTGCCTGTAATCCTAGCACTCTGGGAGGTCCAGGCAGGGGTATTGCTTGTGGCTAGGAGTTTGAGACCAGCCTGGGCAATAGTGAGACCCCACCTCTACAAAAAATAGAAAAATTAGCTGGGTATGGTGGTGTGTGCCTGTAGTCCCAGCTACTAGGGAGGCTGACACAGGAGGCTGAAGCAGGAAGATTGCTGAGCCCAGGAATTTGAGGTTGCAGTGAGCTATGATGATTCCACTGTACTCTAGCCTTTGCAACAGAGAGACCTTGTCTGTCTGTCTGTCTCTCTCACGCACACACATGCACAGATTGATTATTAACTCTATTTAAATTTGGAAGGAAACAAAAGCAGCTGAAATGAAATGAAATAGGCACCACAGAAAAGGAAAAAAACTAAATAGTTGCAACTCATAAACCAGTCTTGTATAGAAAATGTTTTGATCCTCTTAAATTTCTTTGTTTTCACTTATATAATGAATAACTTTTAACTTTGGGGCAGTGAGGCCATTTCTCTGGAGCCTGTTTTCGTAAGTCACCATTGTCAGCCTTTCTCTTTAATAAACTCTTTAAAACTGGGTTCTGATCCTCTGCATTATTTCTGGATGACAGGGCACACACCCACAACATATATACTGCAGCCCCTTAACTCTTGGCTCCCCTTTCTGGGCTGAGCACCCACCCTGCTTCCAATTCTTCCCTCTGAACCCTCCCCACCCAACTCCCTGACTAGCCCCAGTGGCCCTGGACCCCCTCAACACACCCAGAATTGCCATACAAACTCTCTGGCCTGTCCCCATAACCTAGCCAGGCCCCAATGTAAGCACATGCTCAAGGCCCTTCAGACTAACTCTCAGCTAGCTAAAGGGAAGGCAGTTTGCTTCCAGTAGGCATACTTTCAGCTTGTTCTGTTTTAAAAGTTTAGAAAAAAACCCTGCTGCTGACACAGCTGCTGGGCACAAGATTAGAAACCTATGTAGTAGGAAAACTGATCCAGAGTCTGGAACCAATGACCACAGACTGCTGAGGACAAGATCCACCAGACCACCTACTGTTTGCTGATAACCATTGAGCAAGTCATGATAACTTGCATAGAGCTTGCTGTCTGTCACCAACTCCCTTTACCCCTTCTCTTTACAAGAGGCTCAGTAAGCAAAGAAAGATGATGAGATGGCCTTTGAGCCTGTCAAAGGAAAAAACCCCAAACTCTGTAAAATAATTTAAAGACATTTATTGTGAGGCGAATAGGTTCGACCATGGCCCAGAGAGCCATGCCCAAGAGGGCTTGCACAAGTGGTCGTGCCATAGCTGGGTTGCAGTTTGGTTTTATACATTTTGGGGAGACACAAATTATTAATACAAGTAAAGTCATAAATCAATACAGGGTAGGAGTACATTGGTTTGGCCCAAAAGGCAGGACATCTCAAAGCAGGGGATGATAGGTGATAGGTGAGTTTAAAGATTCTTTGATTTGTAATCGGTTAAAGAAATGAAGTTTTGGCTAGCCTACAAGCTTGGATTATTTTATTTATTTATTTATTTAGAGACAGAGTCTCACTCTGTTGCCCCAGATAGAGTGTAGTGGCTTGATCATAGCTCACTGCAACTTCAAACTCGTGGGCTAAAGTGATCCTCTTGCCTCAGCCTCCCAAGTAACTGGGACTAGAGGCACACGCCTCCACACCCAGCTAAATTTTTTTGCATTTTTGGTAGAGACAGGGTCTTGTTCTTGCTCAGGTTGGTCTTGAACTCCTGACCTGAAGCAATCCTCCCGCCTTGGCCTCCCAGAGTGCTAAGATTACAGGCATGAGCCACCATGCCCAGTCAAGATTTTGAATGTTTTAAGATAAGGAAGTGTGTTGATCAGAGACAAGCCACTGCACATATGCAAGATGTATACCCAAGGGATCTCTCCAAGAAGGGAAAGGAGTACAACCAGGCATGTCTGACCTCCCTCCTCATGGCCAGCAACTCAGCTTTAGGATATTTCTGGGGTTCCTTTAGCCAAGAGGGGGTCAATTCAGTCAGCTCTGGGGGGGAGTGCTTAAGATATTATTTTAGTTCACAGTGTAGTTTCTACATATGAAGCATATCTGTGAAAGTCAGGCTCAGATAAAGAATTGTTTGGCTTGTATCCTGGAGAAAGGGTGTATGAATGTGACAATTTATTGAGGTCAGAAATTTAAACTAACCCCAGGTGAGTTTTCCTATAGGCGAAAACAAAGGACTTGAAGAAGGGGGCGTTTCCACTAGGTTAGCTGGGGATAGAGGAGTATGTGAGGAAGCCTTGGCTATGCCTAATCCCAAGTTCCTGACCCTGGAGGACATCAGGTCCTCTCTGCAGTTCCAGTCTTGCTTGGCCGGGTCTGGGCTCCCCTCCTGCTCCGAGGTGACAGGACATCCTGGACACCGAGTCTGGAATTCCCTGCACGCGCTTGGGACCCCTTTCAGGAGGAAGAAGCAGGAACAGCCCACTGCGTGGCGAAGACCACAGAGCCCCTTTCAGCAATGCGGAGCCGGTGGGGCTGAAATGGAAACATCCTGTGAGCCGGGCGCAGGGAGGGAGCTGCGTGTGAGAGAGTGTGGGAGTAGAACTTGTCAGGTCTGGCTTTGCTGGTCTGTGGTTCCCAGGCTTCGCCTGTCACTCAGGCCTCAGGGGGCGGGGCCTGAATCCGCATCCAATCAGGGGCGCTGGGGCGGGGCCTGGCGCAAGGTATTTTCAAACGCGCCGCGGGAAGGAGGAGGCGACCTTTGACCTCTCTCCGCTCCCCTAGGGGTCGCGCCGGCTGAGTTCGGGGTCGCGTCTTAGCTCTTGGGAAAGGCCTCAGGTGCCTGCGCCTCAGATCCTGTCGCGCCGTCACCTTCACCGGGGCCTGTACTGGTCTCTGGGGCCGCGGGGAGGACGCTGGGACACCCGGGAGCCGGGGAATGGTGAGTGTGCGGGGCCGGGCGTCCCCAGGCGCGGGGCGGGGGCTGTTCGGAACCGGCTGTGGCGGGACCCGGGCCTCCCCGCGGTCCGCTCCCGAGTCTGAGGACCCGAGTGGCCGCTGGCGCAGCTCGGCCCTCGGTCCCTCCGGGCCTCGGGGTGAGGCTGGGACCCGGGCGTCCCGTCCGGTCCCTGCGCGGCGACCCCGGCCCCGGCGCCCTCTCTGGGCGGCCCCGCACGTCCCCAGGCTGTGCGGTGACGGCGGGAGGGTCGTCGGGGAGGGTCGTCGGGGAGGGTCCCGACTCGGTGTGTGGGTTCCCCAGTCTTCTCTCCCTTCTGTTTAAAATTAAAGTGAGTCCTTGTGGTTTGTGAAAGGAAAAAAACCTGACCCCCCTAAAATAAATAGGTTTACTCTGAGCAGAAAATGAGTGACAGAAACCCAAGAACCCTTGCACAGATGCTCCGGAGGCGGTGGATTACAGTCTGTTCGTACGCATTTCAGCGAGAGAGGAAGTGCAGGTAAAATTTTAAAAAATCAGTGTATGGAAGGTATACATTGGTTGGGCCGAACACGCAGGACATCGCAAAGCGGGGGCTTACAAGTAATAGGTGGGTTTAAGGACTCTTTAATTGCCAGTTGGTTGAGAGTGCTAATCTTTGTCTAAAAGTTTGGGCTCGAGGAAGAAATGCTTAAGTTAAAATCAGGGGGTATGTTTTCTGTGACATGATATTAAAAAAAAAAAAAAAACCTGTTTAGGTTTTATGGCTTGTAATGCCCGACTTAAATCTTGCCTTGCTGGCCTTAGGGCTTGTTTATAATTTGGTATTTTATTGCCAGAAATTTGCTTTGTCAGTCGTGTTATCTCTATTTTAAGACTAATGATGGAAATTGTGTCTAAATTCCGTAAGGGGGAAAGGCTGATCTAACAAGTAGTGTGCGACCTCCCATCTCATTAGGAAATGAAACTCACTTTTAAGGTTTTTCATGGTGTCCCAAGAAGGGTGCATTGGGACAGTTGGGGGAGTTTAGGATTTTATTCTTAGCTTACAGCTTGAAGGAAAGACTTTATAAGGCGCACGAGGAGCCAAATCAGGTTAAATACTTGATTGGGTACAGTTCTGTAGTTGCCTTATTTGGACTTGTCAACCTCAAATAGTCCAAAAGATCAGATTCCAGTTGTAAAGACTTTATTCAAGTGAAAAGCTGGGAATAGCCATTTAGGAAAGCACAGTTTCCAGAGAAATGGGCTCAGTGCTCTGAAGTTAAGAGTTCTTGCTCATGTAGCCAAAAAAACAAAGAAATGTGACAGGTTTACAACATTTTGTATGCATGGCTGGTTTATGAGATGCAATTTTTGTGTTTTTTTCCCATGGAATTCAGTTTTCTGGCTGCTCAGATTTCCCTGAGGCACTGCTTTGGAGCGAGCCACCCTGGGCTCCATCTGCAGGGTCAGGGTGGGTCCCAAGCTTGGGAATGTGCTGACCTGTGGGAGTGTGGGGTCCCCTGTGAACTGGGGGTGATGCCAGCTGCCTGTCTGAGCTGCTTCCCTTTGTAGAATCTTGCTGCCATATAATTGCTTTTTCCTCAAGCATTTAAGAATTGTGTTCCATGATTTCAGTGAAAGAATTTTATTTATTACATTGGAACCTGAGTAGATTGTGTGTCAAGGTCTGAAGAACAAAATAGAGTTCTTGCAATGATAATGTTTGATGCTAAGTTGAAATAATGAGAATGTAAACACTCAGGTTCCCACCACTCAGGGAAATCAATAGACTTTGGCAGTTCTGGTGTGTCTCCCTGACATCCCTCCCTCTGGCACCCAGAGGTGACCAAAGTTGCGATTCATTTTTTTTGTTGTTTTCTTCAAGCAAAGCATCTTACTAGTGGAATCTGCTGTTATCTTTACAGCTTTATTATCTCTTTATCACCATGCAGAGTTTTGCCTCCTGAGTTTTCAGTAACAATGTGACTATTTATACGCCATTAATATTATCCTGATACATTTTTTTTTTTTTTTTTGAGACAGAGTCTCACTTTGTTGCCCAGGCTAGAGTAAGTGCCGTGGCATCAGCCTAGCTCACAGCAACCTCAAACTCCTGGGCTCAAGCAATCCTTCTGCCTCAGCCTCCCAAGTAGCTGGGACTACAGGCATGTGCCACCATGCCCGGCTAATTTTTTATATATATATTAGTTGGCCAATTAATTTCTTTCTATTTATAGTAGAGACGGGGTCTCGCTCTTGCTCAGGCTGGTTTCGAACTCCTGACCTCGAGCAATCCGCCCGCCTCGGCCTCCCAGAGAGCTAGGATTACAGGCGTGAGCCACCGCGCCCGGCCTATCCGGATACATTTTATTTCTGGTTCCCTTGGGTCAGTTCTTTGCAAACATGTTGTCATCTGGAATCTCAGGTTACCCAGTTTACTCACCCATTGCACTGCTTATGGGACTTGGGTTGTTTCAACTTTAATTTTTTGATCTTGTTGACAATGTCATTCGTGTTTTTGTCCCCAAGTGTGAATGCAACATGAATTTTTTTCCCCATTGGGATAACACTGCTATGTTGATAAATTCAAATTTAGTGGGAAGTGCCAATAAAGTATATATACATTAACATTCTCTCCTTTCACGCATGTGTGTTCATTCCTGTGATTTACCAACACTTGAAATTATCAAACTCATTTCTTTCTGCCCATCTGGTGTTAAACAGAATATCTTTGTGACTACTTATTGCTTTATACTGGTTGCTATTGATTGAACATTTTTCCTATGTGATCATTCATCTTCTGTGAAATAGTTTCCAGTCATTTTTCTCACATTTAACTCATTTGCAGGTTTTTTAAAAAACATACTCTAAACACTATTTCTTTTTCATTACTAGGGTCAGTAAATATTTTCTTTCAGAAATATTTTCTTGCAGTTTATCTTTTAATATCATTCTACCTTTTGATGAATTCTTCTTCTTTTCAATAGAATTGACTTTGTCCATCTTTTCATTGGGGCCTTTTTTATTTTTCTAGATAAGAAAACATTCCCTCCTACTGTGAAGTCACAAAATTTGCCTGTAACTTCTGAAAATGTTCTGATTTTCTGATTTGTTCATAGGGATTGCATTGAACCTGTAAATTGCTTTGGACGGTACGATCATTCTAACAATATTATTTCTTCCAACCCATGAGCATGGGATGTTTTTCCTTTTGTTTGTGTCATCTAAAATTTCTTTCATCAGTGCTTCATAGTTTTCTTTGTAGAGATCTTTAACTCCTTGGCTAAATATATTCCTAGAGACTTTTTTTTATTATTATTGTAAATGGGATTGCTTCCTGACTTGGTTCTTGGCTAGGTTATTATTTGTGTATATAAATGCTAGTGATTTCTATACATTGATTTTGCATCCTGAAACTTTACTGAAATCGTTTTTCAAATATAACATCATATCTAGTCTCGAACCTTCTGTAGCTGGGGCTAGGGCAGCAGAGCGTAATGGGGAGGAGAGCTGGGCAGGTGACTCAGGAGACAGTGGCACCACAGCCTCTCTCCACCAGGTGGCTCCAGATCCCACTGGACACCCTGTGGGCAAACCGACCATGCCTCTGGGCTGACCATGCCCTCCCTTCTTCTCTAGATTTCTTCCCATCCTTGCCTTTATCCTCCCCACGCTTCTCTGGGCTTCTCACTGCAGTACCAGCCCTTTTCGCCATCCCTCTTCCCTAGGGAGATGTGATTGAGCCACTGTTCCCACATTCTCATCACTGCCCTGGGCACAGTGCCCATCTAATGCCCATGGTGGGGAGGAAGCACCCCAAGGTCCTGCTGTGATGCCCCTTACTTGGGCCCCTGGATGCCCCGTACAGCTGGCATCCAGGCCATGCCTCAGGGGACCCAGGTAGGCTATGGTCTCTAGATCCAGAGGGGTGGAGAGGAGAAAGGACGGGGCCTTAGGTGCCTCTGAGATGCTCCCAAGCACCAGAGGGTGGCGAATGACTCTCAGGCAACCTGGGCAGCAGGCATGATGCCCTCGCCTGGTGACTTCAGCCGCTGTCTGACCTGCCGGCCCAGCACCCGGGGCCTTACCCACCTCCTCCTCCACACAGCCTGGCTGCAGGCCCTGCTCAGGCTGCGCTGGCCCAGCACCTGGGCATCCTGGTGATCACCTTCAGCAGGGTGGCCTCCTCCATCACCACCCCCAAGAGTGTGAAAAGGTCTTGCCTATTTTTGGGGGGTTGGCAGTATGTCCTGGAAGCAGCCATTCACTCTAGTGACTTCCTTTTCCTTACTTTCGGTGCCCTGTGTCACGCTTAGCACAGCTGGCTCTGTTCTCTCCTATAAGAATGCTCAGCTGGCCTGAGATTTTCAACAACGCTCCATGGAAGGGAAGGTCTGTGTGTGCCATTCCTCTGTTCCCCTAGTCCAGCCCTATCCAGAGTCGGGGAACTGAAAGTTGCCCCTAACTCCCCCTGTGATAAAGCCGAGGGGCCCTCAAGAACCTGCTGTTCAGCGTCTGGGGGATCACCACGTGTGCAGCCATAATCTGTCCCCTCGCTGCTGTCGTCTGCTGCATCCAGATCTCCTCTCTGGACCTCGTGCATACGCTGGCTCCTGAGCCTCAGTCTGGAGCCTCTGGGCTGCACGTCCTGGCCCCGGCCCCTCTCCTACACTGCTACCCAGCTCCTATCTGCTAGACCTGGAAGAATTTGTACTGCCTGTGCCCCCACCACCCTACTGTCCCCGGAGCACACCTGCAGCTCAGAATCAGATACACAGAGCATCACGTGCAATGGCTCCGTGGACAGCCCAGTGTCCTCACACCCTACTGACCGCCCCGCCCCCCTTCTTATGAGGCTGTCATGGGGCAACAAAGACACAGCCAGGCCACTCTCTTTGATCCTCAGCTTCATGATGGCTCTTGCCTCTGTGAGCTAGTGGCCTCCATTGTAGATGTGTCTGTGGACAGTGGGTCTCTGGTGCTGTCGGCTAGGGGCAACATCCCCAGGGCTCTAGCCTGTCGGAGGACTCCCACCTGCTGGAGCTGCAGGGCTCTGTTTGCTTCTACTGGCTACATGCTCTTCCGATCCATCCAGCACAGCCGCCCGGGCCAATGCCTCAGCCTGGACTGTGGCCATCAGGCCCCTCCGAGGACAGCCCCCTGCCATGACAGCCCCCACAGGCTGCCCGCTCCTATTCCTGCTCTGCCCCAGGGGCCCCACCCTCCCTGGGTGTCCCCACAGCTTCCCACAGCTGCCACCAGCTGGAGGGCTGGCCGTCCCGAGTGGGACCCTGCTCCCCTGAGCCAAAGGAGGGTCTCCCCATGAAGGCAGCCGCCCAGGTGTGGCCCATGCCCAGCTGTGGTCCCTCCCACCCGAGCCCCTCAGTATCATGTTGAATGATAGTGCTGAAAGTGGACATCGGTGTCTTATTCCCATTGTTGGGGAGAATGCTTTTAACTTTTCCCTTTAAATGTGATGTTGGTTGTAGGTTCGTCATATGTGGTCTTTATTATTTTGAGATATGTTGGGCCGGGCACGGTGGCTCACGCCTGTAATCCTAGCACTCTGGGAGGCCGAGGCGAGCAGATGGCTCAAAGTCAGGAGTTCGAAACCAGCCTGAGCAAGAGCGAGACCCCGTCTCTACTATAAAGAGAAAGAAATTAATTGGCCAACTAATATATATATAGAAAAAATTAGCTGGGCATGATGGCGCATGCCTGTAGTCCCAGCTACTCGGGAGGCTGAGGCAAGAGGATTGCTTGAGCCCAGGAGTTTGAGGTTGCTGTGAGCTAGGCTGATGGCCATGGCACTCACTCTAGCCTGGGCAACAAAGTGAGACTCTGTCCCAAAAAAAGAAAAAAAAAAGAGAGAGAGAGAGAGAGAGATGTTGCTAATATGCCTAGTTTGTTGAGGATCATTATCATGAAAGGGTGCTGTATTGTTTATTGAATGCATTTTCTGCATCTATTGAAATGATGATATGGTTTTCATCCTTAATTCTGTTTATGTGATTTATCTCATTTATGGATTTGCTTACGTTGAACCATCCTTGCATCCCTGGTGTAAAACCCACTTCATGGTATATCATCATCTTTGTGATGTGCTGTGCATTCCATTTTCTAGCATTTTGTTGTGGGTATTTGTGAGTGTTCATCAAGGATATTGGTCTATAGTATTCTTTTTTGTTGTATCCTTCTCTGGTTTTGGTATCAGGTATTTGGTATTTGATACTGGCCTTGTAACTCCAGTAAGGCCTAAGGTAGTTCTGTCATCAAAAAATATACAGGTTAGGCAGGGAGCAGTGGCTCACATCTATAATTCCACCACTCTGGGAGGCCAAGGTGGGAGGTTCGCTTGAGGACAGGAGTTCGAGACCAGCTGGGGCAGCATAGCAAGACCCCATCTCTATAAAAAATAATAATAATAAAATAGCCAGGCATGGTTGCTTTCCCCTGTAGTCTCAGGTACTTGGGAGGCTATGGTGGGTGGATTGTTTGAGTCCAGGAGTTAAAGGTTACAGTGAGCTTTAATGACGCCACTACATTCCAGCCTGGGCAACAGAGCGAGACACTGTTGCTTAATTAAAAAAAAAATACCAGTTAGGCCGGGCACAGTGTCTCATGCCTGCAATCCTAGCATTCTGAGAGGGCAAGGCGGAAGGACCACTGGAGCCCAGGAGTTTGAAGTTAGAGTGAGCTATGATGATGCCACTGCACTCTACCTGGTGTGACAAAGTGAGACTCTGTCTCAAAAAAAAAATACTGGCTAGCTAAAAAGGTAGTTCCAGCTACTCAAGAGGCTGAGGTGAGGTGAAATCAGGGGTTTGAGTCCAACCCTGGCAGTGTAATGAGACACCCTCTCTAAAAATATGAAATAAAAAAATATGTATATATGTCAGAACAACCTGTTTTCTAATAAAAGCCCAACACCTAAGTGACAGGCCATCAATTTAAGAAGCTGAAATAGAGGAGTAACAAAGACAGTATAGTGAGATTCACTGCTTCAGAAAGACCTTTATTAAACTCAAAGCTAAAGTTCCTATTAAATAATTCCCCATGGGAAATGGTTAGCTGTTGTATACACAGTGTTTTGTATATAATTCTCTCTCTCAGTATTATTTCTGATCTCTTTATTTTTATTTTTGAGACAGAGTCTCTGTTGCCCTGGGTAGAGGCAGCGGCGTCATCATAGCTTACTGTAGCCTCGAACTCCTGGGCTCAAGTGATCCTCCTGCCTTAGCCTTGCAAGTAGCTGGGACTACAGACACAGACCAAGACACCTGGCTAACTTTTCTATTTTTAGTAGAGACAGAGTCTTGCTCTTGCTCAGGCTGGTCTTGCACTGCTGACCTCAAGTGATCCTCCTGCCTTGCCCTCCCAGAGTGCTAGGATTACAGGCCACCACACCTGGTGTGATCTCTTGTAATAGAAAATTTTCTTTAATGTCCTAAAATAGAAACTTCTAGACTCAAAGCCTCAAATTTAATTTAATTTTTTTAGACATAAGTTCTCCCTATGTTGCCCAGGGGGGGCTCCTATGTTTAGGGCTAGAGCAATCAATCTTCCTGCCTCACCCTCCTGAGTAGGCAGGGCAACAGCTGGGCAGCGCCACACCTGGCTAAGGTTTTATACAACTAATAGTACCTGAATATTATTTGTGTATTTCTCTCAGATGCATATGATAGGACTTCTTCTAGTTTGTTCTTATCCTCCTCTCATTAGTAATCCCCAATCATTAAATGATTTTTTAATGTTCCTTTTTTGAACAAATTTCTCCCTGATAGAGAGGCAGATACAGACTTCCTGTGAAATGAGCAAGTCATCTTCTTTCATTATAATTAAATATTAAAAGAAGTTTTTCCACACAGGCTTGCACAGAGAAGAAAAATTTATGACTTTATTGTGCAATTATTATTGAGCAGAAAGTCACCATTAAACAGGTACTTGGTCCTCGGTTCCCTATCTTCACCCTGCACAGGTTTTTAGTGCTATTCCTAAACACACAAAAATCACTGTGTGAGTGTCCCATCTCTATTAAAAATAAATAAATAAATATGATGGTTCAAGTGACCATAGAAACCTCCCCTCAGACTCTTCTTCCTTAACGTGACACAGACATCATGGCTGAGTCTCCCAGACATGATTCTTCCACAGCGAAGTGCAAGCTACCCAGAGAGGCAGGCACAACACTGCTGGCATCCCCAGCTCTCCTGAAAAATATGCGCCAATGAGCTCTGCAGTGTTCCTCTCTGTCTGGCCTCCTCCAGTGGCAGCCCCAGTCTGAAAGAGCAAGAAAATGGCACTAAGAAGCACAGGAGATGGAGGGAATGCACAGTTCTCACACAAGATTTGAACCTATGACCTCACTGTGTGCATATCAGGTGGGGGAGAGGGACAGGTTTATCTCTGCTGCAGTAAAAAGTAGTTCTCAGCCCAGGGGCAGCAGTCCTGATGTAGATGCAGAACAGTCAGGTCACAATGGCCTAAACCAGCACTCCTTCCTCCAAGACAAAGCAACATGTGCGAAATTAACTGAAATTAACTCAAGGCTGCAGAGCAAAGCTCAGTGTAGAAAGGAGAGGCCTCTGGGTCCTGCAGCTTTGCACGCTGGCTGGAAACAGCTTTCTCCCCTTTCTTTCCCATTCTGTTAGGTAGGAGGCTGTCTCTTTTTCTTCAATCAAAACTTTTTATTACAAGGGTATAATAGGTAGACAGCATAAAATTAACCTTTCAAAATATTTTTGTCATTGTGAATTGGTAATGACAGTATCCTTTGAAAAAGAAAAGTCTCAAAATTTAACTTTCCTTGCTGCAGGAGCTAAAGTGCTACACTATTAAGCATTAACTAAAGAACAGCAGGGTAACTACTTAAGGTCATAAGTATCACAAGAAGCATTAGATTGCTGGAGTATGGAAGAATTTAAACAGAAACACCTTAAATTTTCTCAAGTAGCAAAGCAGTTTCTTTCAGGTAATTCAATAATCTGTGATTTGTTAGAAAATATGCCCCCTAAAGGCCTCTGATCTCCCTGTGTGAGCCTAATGCCTGGAAACCGAAATAGCTATGTGCTGTGTTGTGCTTGTTTCACAGACACGCATGAATGGGTCAGATGTGTTTTCTACTCAACGCCAGAGGGAGGAAGGAGAATCTGTGGCAAGCACGGAGATGATGCAACCCTGATTATACAGCAAGTGGAAAGAGAGCAGGATGGGTTTCAAACAGGACAGGGTCACAAACTCTCCTGTGTGTATGGGGTGGGGCTGGGGTTTGCAGTTTAAGGTCATGGCCCAGGGATCCTTCCATCTTGAAGAAAAAGACAGATGGAAGTCCAACCTGAAGACTGTTAGGGGCTGTGAAAATGAGTAATTCAAAATCTAAGCTCTTGGAACTCTAAATAATTAATATTTTGAATCTTAATTCAGTGGGATTAGGGGGTCTGAGTCAGTGACTGACAGCTGTAACCTAGAGGAGGGCCCTAACCTTGGGTTCCCTGGTTAGAGATTAGCCTTCTTCCTGCCTACAGTTTGGTAAAATGCTGTAAATGACTAAAGCCAGCCAGCCGAGACCAATTCCCTGTTCACTGCTGATCTTCATTATAGATTAACTTCCCTCTTCTCTTCCTCATACAAAGACTTGCATTGTCTTAAAATGGAATGTTAAATACACTCTTTTAAATTGCAAAGGAAATAAAACCAGCTTTAAAGAAAAGAAAATAAGCAGCAGGGGAAAGAAAACAAACTGTAACTAAATTGTTGTAACTTATGCAGCAGCCTTACGTAGAAAATGTCCCAAACCAGACCCGCCACACTTTGAACTTCACCCCGCGCCTGGACTCGCTCCTCCCCCCACACATCCACTTCCATCCCCCAAAACACACCTTCCTTCCTTCTGACCCCCTTAACCCCTGCTTTCTCAGTCCTGAGCACTGACCGCCGCCCCTGGCCGGTATCAGCTCCCCAGCCCCGGCTCCACCCTGAGCTCGGGACTAACCGCGCAGCGGTCCGGGAGCCCCCACCTCCGCTCGCTCTAGTTTGGGAAGTAGGACAGGTTCTGCCGCTGGGCCCAGGTTGTCTCTGCGCCCCTCCCCACACCCCAAGCCGGCCCCACGGTGCCAGTGTGTCCCGCACGGGGTCTTTTAATGCAGTTAAATTATCTTAATAATTTCCTTCTCTACTTTATACACAAATACAGGAAGAAATCAGGGGCCCTGCTGGTGTCTTATTCTAACACTGGGACTGCGGGTCTTTGTCTTGTTTCACTGATCAGTGTTGGTGAGAAGCAGGTGAGCACCCTGCAGTGGGCAGCAGAGCCTGAGGCCAGGGGCTCCAAGCTGAGGCCAGTCTGGAGGCTGCAAAGGGAGGGACATGGGGCTCCCCTCGGGCTCCCCGGGCAGCCTGCCCTCCCTGCCGGGGCCGCCTCCATCTGCTCAAAAAAGTCACAGAAGGAGCGTGGATTCTGAGAATCTGGACAGCGCCTTGGCTGTGGCATGCACAGAGTCGCTGCAGTCAGGCTGTAATTTCTGTGTGTGGAGAAAATCTGGGAAGGTCAGGTTCAAAGAAAGAACAGTTTGTTGGAGTGTCTCCTGGAGGAAGCGTTTATGAATTGGACAGTTTATTTAGGTCAGAACCTTAAACTTACACAAGATGAAAGTTTCCTGCTGGTGCAAATGAAGGACTCGGAGCGTTTTCACACTGTGAGGAGGCGTTAGAGGGGTATGTCCTGCTTTATCCCACATTCCCGACCCCTGGAGGACATCAGGCCCTCTGTCCTGTTGCAGTGTGGCCTGGCCGGGTCTGGGCTCCCCTCCTGCTCTGAGGCAACCGGATCGCTGCCCTGGACACCGAGTCTGGAAGTCCCTGCACACACGCGACGCGCTCCGGGAAGAAGAACAGGGACAGCCCCGTGAGTGAGTAGACACCAGTGCTCCTTCTAGCAATCTGGCTCAGCCAGGGCTGAAATCCAAATCTACGTTGACCAGGCTGGGAGGGAGCTGAGCCCCAGAAGCTGCAGGCGGGACCTGCCAGCCTGGCTCCGCGGGGCCACGGCTCCCTTCGCTTCCCCGTCACTCAGGCTGCAGGGGGCGGGGCCTGGCGCAGCACCCAATCAGGGGCGCCGGGGCGGGGCCTGCGCGCCGTCCGTTCAAACGCGCCGCGGGAAGGAGGCGGCGACCTCCAGCCTCTGCCCAGTCGCGGGTGCGTCGTCGCGGCCGCCGCGCTCGCGGTGCCATGTCGGCTGCTCCGAGAGGGCCCAGATTCCTCCGCCTCGGCTTCTGTCGCCCGCTAGCCGCGGGAGCCTAGAAGGGGCCCCCGGAGGCCGGGAAATGGTGAGTGCGGGGTCGGACGTCGCGGGACTGTGGAGAGGGGCCTCCCCGCGGTCCGCTCCCGAGTCTGCGGACAGAGTGGCCGCCGGGGCAGCGCGGCCCTGGGTCCTCCGGCCCGCGGCGTGGGCCCGGGCCGGCACTCGTGTCCCCGGGCGTCCTGTCGGGTCCCCGCGCGGCGACCCCGGCCCGGCGCCCTCTCTGGGCGCCCCGCGTCCCCAGACTGTGCGGTGACGGCGGGAGGGGGCTGTTTGGAGGAGGGTCCCGACTCCGTGTGCGTCAGTCGCGTCCGTGTAGGGGCCACGCGTGGGCGGGGCTGCGGCCTGTGGGGTCCCCAGTCCTTCTGTTGTTAAAAAATTAAACTGAGGCACTTCTAAAAATTAAAGAGCGGCCGGGCGCGGTGGCTCGCGCCTGTAATCCCAGCACTCTGGGAGGCCGAGGCGGGAGGATCGCTCGAGGTCAGGAGTTCAAAACCAGCCTGAGCAAGAGCGAACCCCGTCACTACTATAAATAGAAAGAAATTAATTGGCCAACTTTATATATAAGAAAAACTTAGCTGGCCAGTTGGCACATGCCTGTAGACCCAGCTACTTGGAAGCTGACAGGAGGATTCTTGAGCTCAGAGTTTGAGGTTGCTGTGAGCCAGGCTGACTCCATCGGACTCACTCTAGCCTGGCAACAAAGCGAACTCTGTTCCAAAAAAATAAATAAATTAAATAATAAAATAAATAAAAATTAAAGAGCGATTCGTGAATGAGAAACACGGTTTGTGGTTGATTAACGGAAAAAAGCAACCTTTCTGAAATAATTTTAAAAAGTTTATTCTGATCCCAATGTGAACGAAACAAACCTAGCAAGCCTTGGGATAAGTGGTTCCGAGCCGTTGGGATTACAATTTGGTTTTATACGGTTTAAGAAAACAGGAATCGGAGGTAAAATCGTAAATCAATACATGTATACGTTGGTTTGGCCCAAAAAGGAGGGACATTTCTAAGGTCGCCCTGGGAGTGGGGGAAAGAGGCTTAGAAATCATGGGTTTAGGGATCTTTACTTGACAATTGGTTGAGTGTGTTAACCTTTGTCTAAAAATTTAGAGTCACTGGGAAAGAATGCTTAAGATAAAGGGGGGGGGGCTATTATCTGTCATGTGATACCCTGCCAGCAAAAAGAGACCTGTTTAACTAGGTTTTATGGCTTGTAAGGCTGACTTAACCCTTGCCTTGCTTGGCCTTAAGTCTTGTTTATAACTTGGTATCTTATTGCCACACAAAGCCTGTGTTTTGTCAGTCTTGTGATCTCCATTTTAATATTAAAGTTGGTCAGTTGTGTTTAAACTCCAGAAAAAAGGGGTATAAAAAGGCGTGTCTGACCTCTCTTTCCATCAAGGATCCAAACTAAATTTTAAGGTTTTTCCGGGGTTCCCTTGGCCAAGGGGTGGTCTGTTCAGTCCCTTGAAGGGTTTAGATTTATTTTTAGCTTACAGGTTGAAGGAAAGGCTTTGATAACCTGCAGAAGGAGCCAACCCAGATTAAATATTCCATTGGTGACAGTTATGTAGTTGTTTTATTTGGACTTGTGAACCTGAAATAAGCAAAAGGATTAGAGTCCACTTTAAAAGTGTTTATTCAAGAGAAAATCTGGGAATAGGTATTCCAGAAAACACAGACTCCAGAGATATGGGCTCAGTGGTCCAAAGTTAAAAGTTAAGTTCTTGCTTGTATAGGCAAGAAAACAGAATTACAACATTTTGTATACAAGGCTGGTTTATGAAGTACAGGAGTTTAATTAGTTACGGATTGTCTTTTTTGCCTACAGTTCAGTTTTCTGGCTGCTCAGGTTTCCCTCAGGCGCTGCCTTGGAGTGAGCCACCCTGAGCTCCACCTGCACAGGCAGGGTGGGTCCCAAGTTTGGGAGTGTGCTGACCTGTGGGAATGTGGGGTCCCTAGTGAACTGGGGGTGATGCAGACTGCCTGCCTCAGCTGCTTGATGGCCTCTTCTTAATTTTAATAAAGTTCAATTTGTCAATCTTTTCTATTGGGGCCTATTTTGCTTTCTCAGAAACAGAAACATTCCCTACTGTGAACTCATACAATTTGCTTGTAATTTCTGAAAGTGCTCTGGTTTTTTCTTACACAAATGGTTTCCTTTTTTGTGATTTGGCCTTGTCATCTCTCTTAGGAGAATTGCTATAACCTGTAGCTTTACCCTGACCAAGCTGCAGGGGATTTGGTTGTGGATATTTACAATATGGCTTTTAGGGAGACTTCTTATCTTTAAATTTTTTTAGAGCTGGGATCTGGCTATATTGTCCAGGCTGGCCTTGAACTCCCAGCCTCATAAGCTCTCACTTCAGTAGCTGGGTACTCACTTGAGTAGCTGGGACTACAGGCCTACAACACCCGGAGTAGTTTTTCTTCATTTCAATGAAAAACAAGACAAACCTGTTTGTGGATTTTATGGAATTTAATATAACACTAGATATATTTCATAGAGGTTATCTTGGGGATATTCAATCTCTTTTCTAAAGACATATGGCATCCTTTCATTTATTACATCAATGTCTTTCCACATATACTCCTTGCATTATAATCATTTTATATCCTTTCACTGCCCTTTTTGGGACCTAAAGAAAATTAATAGAAATTACCTTAATAGGCTATGTTATCTTTTAAAAATGATTCAATATGTTGCTAGTCATTCAAAATGCACTGAGATGTAATTTATAGGGGTTTGCATTCTAGAAACTTTCTAAAAATATTACATATAGAGAAAATGCATAAAACAATTTCATAATGAACAGAAATATTGCTGGAACCAGTATTGTGGAAGATAATTTCCTTACTTTTACAAGCTGTGTATACATCTCTCTGTCAGTATATTTTTTTGTGTTTTTTATGCAAATGATATATGTGATATTGTATGTCAGGTTTTTTTTTTAACTCAGTGATGAACCTTCCATAGAATGGTAGTTAATTCACTTTTTTATTGAATAGACCTTATTATTTAGAGTAGGGGGGATTTGACAAAAAAAATTGAGCCGAGTTTCCACCTCGTCCTTCCCAGCTCATAGTTTTCCCTCATTTTTTAACATCTTGACTTTCTGTAGTGTGTGTGATAGCTGGTGAAGCAATATATTACATTTTTGATGATGGTGAGAATTCTTGAACCGACACTTGATTAAAGCCAGTCTTTTACATTAGGGTTCACTCTTTGTGTTCTACAATTCTGTGGGTTTTGACAAGTACGTATGTCAGGTGTCTGCCCCCAGAGTCTTCTACGAAGACTTTCACCGCCCTAAAATTCTACTGTGCTCCACCAAGTCATCACCCTCTTCTCCCTCTAATCCTCCACCCCTCCTCCCCTGGTTAACACTGGTTACTGCCTCTGGAGTTTTGCTTTTCTGTGAGTAGCCATTTCAGACTTGCTTCTTTCAGGTAACAATGTATGTTTAAAGTTTCTCCATAGCCTTATGGCCTAATAGCTCATCTCTCTTCATCCCTGAATAATACTCCACTGGGTGGGTGTGCCGCAGTTTATCTACTCACTAATGCAAAGGTTCATATTCACCTGGGTGTAGTGACTCCTAGTTCTAGTCCTAGCTACTCAGGGAGGATTGCTTAAGGCCATGATTTTGAGGTCACTGCAAGTGATATATGGAGACACCCTGTCTCTTTATTGAAAAAAAAAAGGAAGAAGAAAGGCTTATTATCTTGGTTGATTCTAGTTTTTGAAAGTTATGAATAAGACTGCTAAAAGCATTCTTGTGAAGACTTTTGTGGGAACATCAGTTTTGAACTCATGTGGGATGATAGCTAGGCATGCAATTGCTGAATCATGTTAAGACCATGTGTACCTTCCTAAGAGCACGTCGGCCTGTCTTCCCAAGTCCCTGCAGTGTTTTTCACTCACATTAACCATGAATGACAGTTCCTGTGGCTTCACATTCCCCCAGCATTGGGTGGTGTCAGTGTTTTATTGCTTTATTTTTGTTTTTTCCAACAAGAAGCCATAACTTTATTAATGATAGAAACAGTACAAATTTCAAACCAAGCTACATTTACTCTTTTGAAACACCAAAAAAAGTCCTTGTTTTCAGATGGTTACATTGTTAATCCCATAATAGCATTTACAATATCATTACTGTTGTTCTTCAGGGCTCGGACTGCCTTTGCTCTTGACACATTTGCTTGTGACATGACCAATTCTGTCTTTAACTTCCACACCTGTTTGATCAACCTCTTCCTCTTCACTCTCCTCTTGTACAGTTGGAGTCTGTGTGTTTTCTTGAATGTTTGAAACAGCTTCACCTTGAACTTTGAATTTCTCAGCAGCTGCTAGCTGTGCCTGCTGAGACAAATCCTCCATCTTGGCTTCTCCAAAAACTATGTAGGCATCTGAAGCTGGGCCCTTGCAGACATCTGGTTTTGTGATGACAAAGAGGATATTCTTAGATTTCTGGATAGTGACTCTAGTAACCCCTGTAACCTGTCGAAGACCCAGTTTGGACATAGCCTTCCGTGCCTTCTTTCCACCCCGACTCTGTTTTGCTTTACTAACTGGTTCTTCCTCGATTTCAGCTGCTGCTACCAGCTGTGCTTGTTGTGTTGCTTGTGTGGAATCTTGTTCCTCGAGCTCACACTGATTCATCACTGTCAGATTCTGTTCCAGACCCTGTCTCAGCCTCAGGCTGTGGCAACTCCTGCTCTGTAGCAGGGACGGTTTCTGTGGCTTCACCGGGCATTTTGTGCAAGGAATGTGGAACCAGGATGCCGGCAGCGTGTCAGTGTTTCAGATTTTAGCCACTATCCCAGGTATTTGGTGATACCTCATTATGATTTCATTTGCCCTTCTCTAGTGACATGTGATGTAGAGCCTCCTGTCATATGTTTGTTCTCTAGTGTATTTCTAGATTTTAAACTGGTTGGTGGTTTTCTCGAGTTTTAGGACTTCTTTGTATATTTTGAGTAGTAGTCCTTTATCAGATAGACGTTTTGCAAATTTTTTGTCCCAGTCACCAGCCTCTCTTTCATTGTGTTAACGGTGTCATTTGCTAAACAGTTTCAATTTGATTGGAGTCCAATTTATTCATTTTCTCATGCACAGATCTTGTTCTTGGTGTTGTGTGTGAAATCTTACTTGCCAAGTCCAAGGTGGTCTTGATTTCACTTGTGTTATCCTCTAGAAGTTTTGAATTTTGCATTTCCCATCTAGGTTAATGATCCATTTTTTGAGTTTATCTAATGAAAGTTATAAGTCTGTGCTTAATTCATTTCTTTACACATTTTAGTCAAGCTGTTCCATTACCATTTGTTGAAAAGACTACACTATCTCCAGTGAATTACCTTGGCTCCTTTGTGAATCATGAGATTACTACATGTGTGTGAGATTATTTCTGCATTCTCCATTCTGTTCTATTGATCTATTAATGCATTCTTTTCAAAATACCAGTGTCTTTACTGTAGCTTATAGGAAGTCCTTATAGTCAGCCTATTTTCTTAAGTGACCACATTGAGTCTTTTGTGTTTCTGTGTCTCTATTTTATTTTCTGGCCTGGTTAAACTAGTAGCAATTTCCTTCCTAAGTTGAATAGAAGAGGTAAGAGGAGACATTCTTGTCTTATGTCTCATCTTTGAGAGAAAGTGTTTAGTCTTCCACCTTCAAGTATGATGGTAACTTTACAATCTATCTTATAATAGGTTGAGGAATTTCCCTTGTATGTCTAGTTTCTTGAGTATTCCAGTCATGAAAGGCTGTTGAGGTTTGTCACCTCCTTTACCTCCTTTTCTACATCTATTAGGATGATCTTCTGTGTTTTTTTGTTTGTTTGTTTTGCTGACAGTCTTGCTCTGTTGCCCAGGCTAAAGTGCAGTGGCATTAACATACCTCACTGCAGCCTCAAACTCCTGGGTCAAGCGATCCTCCTGCCTCCGCCTCCCAAGGAGCTGGAACTACAGGTGTATGCCACCACGCCCAGCTAATTTTTCTATTTTTTGTCTAGGCGGGGTCTCACTATGTTGCTCAGGCAGGTCTTGAACTCCTAGCCTCAAGCAGTCCTCTCACCTGGGCATCTAAAGTGCTGAGGATGCCGACTCAGGTTTGATCAAGGAGGGAGTCCTTGAGCCCCAGCCTAGTTCTTCCCAGGGCTGACAGTAAAGCTCTAAATTTCTGGTTCCATTCTCACATTCTAAAATGCCAACTTCTCTCCAGTTGTACTAACAACTTCTTTCTTCTCTTCTCTCCAGTTGTACTAACAACTTCTTCTCTCCCTTGTACTAACAGCATAAGGGTTAGTTAACATATTTGATATAGCTTTGATTGCTCTTGAGAACATTTGTCAAAGATGTTAAAAGGCTGAAAACGTTTGATCAAAATAGAATCACAAGTCATTGTCCACTAACAGTAATCCACTTAACCACTTTGGCACCAGCGTCCGACCATAGTCGACAGCCATTGTGAGCTACACTGTGAGCCATCATTGTGAACTATGTGTCCCCCATGCTACATTTGAAAGAGTTGTAGTATTATTTATCATATTTTCAAAGAGCAGTAAATGGCTGTATTTTAAAATTTTGCCATTTGTCTATCTGAATATTTTTCATGAGAGGAAAGCACTGAGTATCTACCTGAAGCTACATTGTGCAAAATACTTGTACATAATAATTTGTGATGTTGACCATCTTTCATTTACTTATTGGCCATTTTTATATATCTTAGAGAAATGTCACTCAAGTCCTTTGCCCATCTTTTAATCAGTTTCTTTGCTTCTTTGGTACTATATTATTGTTAACTTTTATAAAAAACACTTAAGTTTACCAACTTCATAGCCTGGGCAACATAGTAAGACCCCTATCTCTAAAAAAATTATTTTTTTAGGGCCGGGCGCAGTGCCTCATGCCTGTAATCCTAGCACTCTGGGAGGCCGAGGCCGAAGGATCGTTCGAGGTCAGGAGTTTGAAACCAGTCTGAGCAAAAGCAAGACCCCGTCTCTCTTAAAAATAGGAAGAAATTGGCCAAACAACTAACCATAGAAAAAAATTAGCTGGGCATGGTGGTCATGCCTGTAGTCCCAGCTACCCGAGGAAGCTTGACGGCAGGAGGATCCACATTGAGCCCAGGAGTTCAAAGGTTGCTGGGTGAGCTAGGCTGATACCATGGACTGTAGCCCTGGGCGAAGATTGAGACTCATGTCTCAAAAACATGGTTAAGTAATGACCGGGCGCGTGATGGCTCCACGCCATCTAATCTAGCACTTTGGGAGCGAGGCGGGCGGGATTGCTTCAAGGTCAGGAGTTCGGAACCAGCCTGAGCGGAGACCCCGGTCTCTACCAAAAAATAGAAAGAAATTAATTGACCAACTAAAAATATATATACAAAAACATTAGCGGGACATGGTGGGCGCAATGCCTGTAGTCCCAGCTACTCGGTGGGCTGAGGCAGCAAGGTCGCTGAGCCCCGATAGATTGAGGTTGCTGTAGACGCCAGGCTGAGGCCACGACATACTCTAGCCTGTTTTGGCTCTAACAAAGTGACGACCTGTCCTCAAAAAAAAAAAAATTTATTATTTATATATTTGGGTATGGAATGTTTGTATAATGGAGGAAGTTGTATAATGATAATGCTTGATATCAGGTTCTTGTCCTTTCGTGGCCAGACAACTCGTTTTTAAGTTTTATGGGGTCCCCTAGCCCAAGAAGAGGTCCATTAGTCAGTGAAGGGGATTTATTAATATTTTTTCTACCTTTGGGCTAAGATTTGCCACAGGCAGCGCCAGCTGATGGGCAACCATTTTTTTTTTTTTTTGTCTATCATTGTGGGTGTGCGCTGCTCCTATTCCATCCAGGCCCTTGGTGGGACCCTTGTGCCCAAGGGGACTGAAGAATCAAAAGGCTTACAACCAGTTAAATGTACTAGGCCCGATGGGAGGAGATGGACAAGCATTTATTAACCTTTAAACCCTTTTTTTTTTTTTATCATTGGATAAGTTTTCTTTATTCATATTATTGTAAACCTAGCCTATTGTAGTGTTACATTTTTTATTTCAAAATTAAGGGGGGTACAAATATTTTTTGTTACATGGATAGCTTTACAATGCCCTAAGTCAGGGCTATTACGTGTGCTCCATCACTGAATAATGTTCATTGTGCCTGTTGGGCAGGTTTTTACCCCTCCACCTCTTTTTTTTTTTTTTTTTTTCCGGCATATTATGGGGGAACAGATTTTAAGGTTTCAATAAATGCCCTCCCCCCCCCCACAAGTCTGAGTTTCCAGCATGACCATCCCCCAGATGGTGCACATCTCACTCCTTATGTATATATATATATATATATATATACCCACCAGGACCTTTAAACCCTTTTAAGCAACATAAATGCCATAGCAAAGCTATAAAGTATACTTATCCATAAGCATTGAGAATCTTGGTTTTAGTTATAGACTTGTAGGAAATTGCTATATAAAGCATAATCGTTTTGTTAAAGCCATTTGGGCCTAAGGGATGCTTTTTGTAGTCTCTTATCAGAATTAGCCACATTTTGGCTGGGCGTGGTAGCTCATTCCTGTAATCCTGACACTCTGGGAGGCCGAGGTGAAAGGATCACTTGGGCTCAGGAGATTGAGGTTGCATTGAGCAATGATGATGCCACTACACACTACCTGGGGTGACAGAGCAAGATTCTATCTCAAGGAAACAAAAAGGTTATAAGTCATGTGTACTTCTGACAATGACAGGAAAAGGAAGCTTATAGGTAGCTGAACATTCAAATTATGTAGTAACAAATTATATTAATCTAGACAGAAACAAAATTATTAAATGAGTCCTAATGTTGCTGAATATGGGCCTGGTTCTTTGCCTCGTGAAAGCAGTACCATTTGGATTGTTGTCTTCTCTTGGTCTGAAAACCAGGCTTTGGTTAACTTGAGTTTGATGTTAACTACCCAGGAGCCACGGCCCTGTGACTTAACAGCACATGGGTTAGTTAACATATTTGATATAGCTTTGATTTGCTCTTGAGAACATTTGTCAAAGATGTTAAAAGGCTGAAAACATTTGATCAAAACAGAATCACAAGTAATTGTAAACTAACAGTAATTTACTTAACCACTTCGGTACCAGCGTCCACTATAGTCGACAGCCACAGATGAACGCACACAGCGACTTTAGCTGACAGCCGTGATGTGACTTTTGTAAATTTTCATTTATCAAAATAAAATTGTGAACATTTAAAAATAACATAATGAAAACATATATGTATATGTTACCTATGCTAATTTACATTACAAGTAAAGCTGCCTGTAAAGTAAAACAAGCTTTCAGTGCTTTAAAGCTGTCCTCATCATACAAGAGCAAAATGGATTCGTTGTCAATGCACAGCACAAACTATTGTGCAGACTATGAGTGCCGGTTTCGCAGCCGGTGAGCGCCGTACCCAAGTGGTTAACCAAGAGTGATAAGCAAGACGTTAAAGGCAATGCAGAAAGTTACACAGATTTAAAAACCTTCACTTTTTAAAGCTCAGTTTTCTTCAAGTAATCAAAAACCTAATGAAGATAATATAGGAGGGTGAGAGAGATGGCTCACGCCTGTAATCCTAACACTCTGGGAGGCTGAGGTGGGCGGATTGCTAGAGGTAAGGAGTTCGAGACCAGCCTGAGCAAAAGCGAGACCCCGTCTCTACTATAAATAGAAAGAAATTAATTGGCCAGCTAATATATAGAGAAAAATTAGCGGCATGTGGCGCATGCCTGTAGTCCAGCTACTCGGGAGGCTGAGGCAGGAGGATTGCTTAGCCCAGGAGTTTGAGGTTGCTGTAGTAGGCGACCCACGGCACTCACTCTGCCTGGGCACAAGCGAGACTCTGTCTCAAAAAAAAAAAAAAAAAGAGCAGGACCAAGGAAAACTGAAGCTTCCCATTTCATTTAAGTTCTTGGAACCTCAGCTCCCACGCAGGGTTAAATCCCTACTAGTGCTATTAATTATGAGATGATAGAAAGAGTGAGTCTGAAACCGATTTTATGTGTATTTTTCCACATACAATAAAGTCAATGGAAGAAATTTTATCTACAACTAGGATTAAGAGACCAAAATATCTTCATAAACCTTTGACTATAAGTTTCTGATTTTGTGAACCTACTTACTTGATGTTTTAGTTATTCTAATTTACTGACCCTTATTTTTGTTTAGCCATGCCTACATTATTACCTAAGGAAGAACCTTAAACATATGGATATTTTTGTTCATAACTCAGGAGACTTAGCTGTTGTCATTATACCAATAATATTAGTTTTATCAGAAATTATACAAACACAGATCATTTTGTTTTGCCTGGGTTTATAGTTTTGTAACCTTTGTATCAAACCCTGACACATTAAACATCTAGGAGCAGGCAGGTGGGGTGCTCACGCCTGTAATCCTAGCGTCTGGGAGGCCGAGGTGGAAGGATCACTCAAGGTCAGAGATCAAACCAGCTGAGCAAGACGAGACCCGTCTCTACTAAAATACAAAGAATTATTGGCCAACTAAAAACTATAGAAAAAATTAGCCAGGCATGGTGGTACGTGCTGTAGTCCGCTTACTTGGGAGCTAGGCAGAGATGCTTGAGCCAGGTTTGAGTTGCTGTGAGCTAGGCTGATGCCACGGCACTCTAGCCCGTACACAGAGGATCTGTCTCAAAAAAAAAAAAAAACCTTAGGAGGACAAGTCATAAATGAGCGTAAACTCAGCAAATTTTATGCTGTATTTTGGAGATTTTTTAATCATAATTTAAAACTATATGCTATTAAGAGATTATTAAGATAATAAGAACTTAAAAGCATTTAGATTTCTTAATTATGAGCATGCATTTATTTATAAGCAATTTGGTACTATGTCGACACAACATGTAATACATATACATATACATAAACACATCTAAAGTTCTTTACCTTTTTTATTTCAGTTTCAAATGAGCTTTCAGTGTTTTATTAATCTCTAAGTAGCTTTGAATTAGTAGTTTTATCTCAACACTGACAGCTTAGCAACTATAGTTCAAAGTAGAAAGAAATAGGCATAACATACTCTACATTTTAACTCTATTGTGCAGGTGATCACTTGCCCTCTGAATTTTCTTGATATAATTTGGCCATCGGTTTAAACATGTGCACAAGAACAGGCCATAATATGTAATTAGCAGAATCCTAGAAACTTGGCATCACTTTGACCTTTCTCATAGCACACTTTACATGCCACAAACTAATAAATACAAGAAGTTTCAATAGAAGCCCAATCAAACAAGTGCAAATGAACTGGTCCACAAATCGAGTTGAAGTCCAACAACTATTCCCCTGAACCAACAGGGTACCCAAACGAATAAGAACAGAGTGGCTTATTCGAGGAAAACCCGAATGGAAGGGAAAAGAGTTTCCGTTGTACACACTGAGCGACTTACCCTACAGATTCCAAATTGAGTCTGTCGACTGGCCAGTTACCATTTTCCTTTCACCAATAAGCATTGCAGACAGCTGATCTGTGAAGGGACGAAAGGAGAATTACCCAAGATGAAAAGATTCTTGGCAGCTGCTGGACATCCTTGGGTTCCCATCCTCAGGTCAGTTAGCATGAGCAGCTGGTGCTTACAGTTGACTGTTGCTCTGCTGCAGCAACTTCTCTGTCCTAGTAAATCAGGTGAGCTAAAACATCCAAAACACACAGCCTCACTTTGTATCCAGGAATTTAACCCAGTGCGGAATCAGCTGCTCACCACTGAACAGCCAAACTTGAGAGAGCAGGTTGGTGAAAGGAAAAGCACCTTTTATTCAAAAGCTGGCAACCTGAGAGATGGTGGACTAATGTTGCAAAAGCCAGGTCAGTTTCTCAGGCTGACCACAGGGTTTATGAAGGGGACAGAGGCCTGGAGGGCTGGCTATGTGCAGTTGGTATCTTGTTCTGATGGTTAACATAATAGAATTGGAATTAACTGCTCGCATATTTCTCCAGCCGGGGAGAGGAAGAGTCCCACACCTGGTTCTATAGTTACTGCTCAAGGCCAGTTTCTGACTTACTAAGAAGCACACATTAGTGCTTTGTAAAAAAAAAAAAAAATTATACTTAATATTAGATGGATGACTGTTACTGTTAAACAACAGAGATTGGTTCCAAGTAAGACATCCTTGATTTTTATTTTGTAGCTGTCATGGTGTTATTATGTTTCTTCAATTAAGACTTGCCAGGAAATGATTTGTCAATATTTTCTGAATTCACGGCTTGCCTTTTTCCCTCTGTTCATACTGTACTCTGATGCACAAAATTTTAACATATTTGTTTTGTTTTTTCTTTCACAAGACTTAATATCACGCTAATGCCCAGGCTGGAGTGCAGTGGTTTGTGGATAGCTCAACTGCAGCCCTGAAGCTTGGGACTCAGGTGATTCTCTCGCCTCAGCCTCCCCAGTAGTGGACAGTACAGGCGTGCACCACCATGCCTGGATAATCTTAAGACTGGCCTGCTGCAATTTTTACCTTCTCTCCAGTTGGCCCTCGGCAATTCACTAATTAAAATTTTAGGTTTTCTATCTCAGTACTGTTCCACAAAAGGTTCTGCTCATGGGATTCTGTTTCAGTAAGTTATGACTCTTCTCAGCTGGGTAGGAGAGTCCCATCTAAAATACCATGAAAGTTTAACTTTGTGAACAAGCATTTTTTCTTTTCCTTTTTTAAATGTCTACTCTCTAATCCTGAGAAACTAGATTTCAGAAATACCCTCTCAGATTGCTAATGCTAACATTTTCTGCACACTAATAGTGGACTTTGTTATAACATGTGCTGCAGATTCACTGTACAAAGAGCATTAGGGTGACCCAGGGCCCATCTTCTCCCTGTTCACCAGTAAGACATGATTGCTGTTCACTATTGCTCTACCCAGCAGTTGTATACTAGCACCAGAATTGCTGTATGAGAGGACATGGGTATAAAGAGAGTAAGAGTCTGAAGAAAATCATGGAATAAATGCTTGGACTCACCACCATCTTGTAAACTTCTTACAGTAGATATATGTCCCCAATGCTATCAGTCTCCATATCTTTTACACATGTGGGATGTTTCAGGACTCAGTGGCCTTTGAGGATGTGGCTGTGAACTTCACTGGAGGAGTGGGCTTTGTGATCCTTTCCAGAAGAATCTCTACAGAGATTTAATGCAGGAAACTTGAAGAACCTGGCCTCTGTAGGTAAGGGTGACAACATTCCTTCACTCAGTGAATTAGAGAACAAGAGTTCTTGTTTATCAAGGCTGTTTTGTGATTTGGAATATGGACATGAAGTACTTTGAATAAATCAGGCATGTTGCAGTATACCATGAACATAAAATCTAGTAATTTTTTCATGATTTATAATAATTCATGACTATTTTTCTGGGTCTGCAATTTAGGACAAAATGGAAGACCAGAACATTGAAGATCAGTACAAATCCCAGGAGAAATCGAAGGTAATTTGTACTCACAGGACAAAGCAATGTTTTAAAGAAATTTTAGGATATTAGAAAATGTTAAAAAATGCAACAAAAAAATAACCCCAGGGTCAAATGTTTTATTCTCAGAAAATTTCTCTAAAAATGCATAATAATGTTGACAACATGTTTAATGTCTGTGAATTTAATTGTAATAGTATTATGCAACCCCATATGAATATTATTTTTTGATAATAAGTATGGCTAGCAGAACTTATTGTCCATTCATGTTTAAATAATCCAGAAAGCCATGCTGTTAATGTTAAAAATGCAAGTGCCACTTATTACAAATATAAAATCATTATAAATAAACCAATAATAATGTGCTTTCATTTTCTTACAGAAGTCTTATGGGAGAGAGACACATTGAAGTCAACAAAGTAGTCAGTGTGTGAGCGTTCCAGCCAGGTTCCAGATCACATCCTAAACAAGAAAACTCTGGAGAAAACCTTGTGAAAGGACGTGGTGTGTGGAGAATCTCTACTGGTCATTCATCTTGAATATTACATATCAGAGCGACACTGACCAAACCATTGAGTTATCAGGATATAGGAAAAAGCCATACACAGTAAGCAACGTGAGAAAGCTTCAGTTATCGCTACTCCTTTCGAACACGTAGGGCCTCCCACATGGAGAGAAACCTTGATTGTAGAAATGTGGAAACTTCGTTTCTCTCATAGACTTTCGAAGCACACTGGTAAAGCCATAGTGGAGATGGACCTCATAATGTATTTTGTGGAAAACACTTTGCTTCTAGTTTATATTCTCTATACATTGAAATAATTCACACTGAGAGAAACCATATAAATGTAAACAATGTGCAAGCTTTTGGTTGGTAAGTTCTGTTCGAGCCTGAAAGAACTCCATACTGGAAGACAGCCTTATCAATGTAAGGAATGTGGGAAAAAATTCATTCATTTACAAGTCCTCTTCATCGACATGAGAGGATCACACAGGAATGAAGACGTATGAATTGTAAGGAATGTGGGAAACTTCAATCTTGTCCAGTTTCCTTCGGAGTCATGAATGATCTACACTGGAGAAAAAACCCCGCTATGAATGCAAGGAATGTGGGAAAGCATTTATCATCGTGTAGCTTTGGAATGTCACATAAGTAATACAACCTGGAGATAGACCCTATAAATGTCAGATATTGTGGGAAAGCCTTTTTATTCTCTCCCGATCAATTTCAAAAGCATCGAACAAAAGTCATACTGGAGAGAAACCCTATGAATGCAAGCAATGTGGAAAGCCTTCAGGTTGTTTCCACTTCCTTTCGGAGTACATGAAGGAGCACACTGGAGAGCAACCTATGGAGTGTTAAGCACTGGTGGTAATGCCTTCCAGCTGTTCCAAAGTATATTCGAATACATGAAAATGAATGCACACTGAGAGAAACCCCTATGATGCCAGCAGTGTCGGGAAAGCATTCCCATTATGTCAGTTCTTTCGAGACATGAATAGGTCCACACTTGAAGGGAAACCCTATAAATGTATAGTATGTGATAAAGCCTTTACATCTTCAACACTTTCCGAGTACATGATAATATCATACTAAGAGACGAAACCTTATGAATGTAAGGAATGTGGAAAACCTTCCATTCATTCCAGTTCCTGTCAAAAACATGAAAAGACTATACTATTAATATATAAAAATCCAATTTAACGTAAGGAATTTAGGAACATTCAGTTGTCCCAGTTCATTTCTTTGTTTGAGACAGAATCTTGCTTCTGCTGTGTAGAGTGCAGTAGGCATCAATCATAGCTCCAACTGCACCTCGAATCTTAGGCTCAAGCCAGGTCCTCTTGCCCTCATCCTCAAAGTAATGTTGGGACATACGAGCACAGTCCATGACACTAGGGGGGGGGGGGGTGGTTAATTTTTCTGTTTTTATGAGAGATGGGGGTCCCGTTCTACTTCAGGCTGGTCAAACTACGAGCTCAAGCAATCCTCCCCACCTTGCCTCCCAGAGTGCTAGGATTACAGGAGTGAGCCACTATTCCCAGCTTCCCAGTTCCTTTCAAGCACAGCACCAGGAGTGGAAAGATCCATGACTTACTTTACTTTTAAATTGGGAAAGATCTGTGATAGGAATATAGAAATCTAGAGGATGGAGTTATGATTGATCCATGATCACTTCGACAATACCTAATCTTACATGAGGAATGGCATTAATCACATTTAGTCCACCATACTGGGTGACAGGTAAATACAGTGTTGTGTGGACACTGCTTGCAGCCATTTCTTGATTCCTTGCCTTGGCATATCAAGTAGCTTCAAAATCCCTTAAGTTTGATTTGTTCAGAGTGTAGTTTCCAGAGATGTCCCCAGAAACTCATGTTAAAGACTTATCTGTCATAAAAAAAAAAAATGAAATTGACTGAATGAACAAAGGAAAAAAATATCTGTCCCACAGCTTGAATATTCTCTCATGAGGTTACTGCACCTACTCAACTAGATTGAATGTGAAGTGTGATTTGTATTGGAGGTCATCTTTGTTCTCTGTAGTGACTCTGGTTCAGCCATGACAGCTGTAATGCCACCAATCAAAATAACTGTATGGGAACTTGTTTCTCTCTGCATTGTGTACGTGACCGGTCTCACCCAGAACTTCATGTGGGAATGACCTTCCTCTTATCAGGATTTTAGTATGTTTCCATGTTTATTCAAAGCTGAATAGAACATCTCAGCTCATTTTTAATTATGTTTGATTTTATGTGATTAAAAATAATATATATTTTTGGGGCTACCAAGATTCTGTACATGTTTTCTTGAAATAATTGAACATTTTTTTAACAACTGAATACTACCAAATTGTTATTCTCCTTTTCTTTCCTGCAAGGCATATAAAATGTCTCATTGCCTGAGACTGCAAACCAATACACCTCGTGAAAGAATATGAGGATACCTGCAAAGAGATACCTATCATTTGATCCACAATTCCCCAAAAACTAAAAAGACATTCTATAAAAAAGACATCTTACACTAGAACATTTTATAGCAGCTCAATTTACAACTGCAA